AGGGCACGTACTTCATGAGCGTCGTGAATGAGGTGCAATGGAGAGTGGAGGAGTGGGCCGGTGTGCCAGCAGACGTCACGAGAGTGCTAAAGGCACTGAGGGAAGGGCTCGGCGACCTGCCAGGGCTAACAGGCAGATATGAGACGGGCTATGGGCTCAGCCCGAGGTTTGATATTGAACAGGGATTAGGCCAGGGCTGCCTGCTCTCGCCTACACGGAGTAAGCTCATGCTCGCGGTGATGCAGCGAGCAGTGAGCAAATTATGCCAGGAGGCCGAGAGCTGCTGACCATGGCGGACGAAGCCACCTACCGAGCAGGGACGCAGATTGACAATTGGGTGGTCACAACTGGGCTCGCGTCATGTATGGGGCGCACGAGCACAATGCCGGGGGTGTGCGGTGACGACCACAGGGCGGTGGCGGTGGAATTCTTTGGAGGAGTGGGTGGTGTGGGAGGGCCTCGCGAGTTTCGGGAGCGGGGGGTGAGCACATTCATGGATCGGGAGGTGGAGGAGAAATTCACAAAGACGGTACAGGAGGTGTTCGATGACGAGGTGGAGGCCGATGCGGAGAAGGAGCTGAGCGCCTCAGAACGGCTCGAGAGGCTGACGAGGGTGCTCACGCGACACGCTAGGGCGGTGGTCGCGACCAGGAGGGCAAAGGGCGATGACGAAGCGGGCGGAGAGGAGCGGCCCGCGGGAGGCGGGGAGGCAAGCGAGGGGGCGGGTGGCCGAGGGCCGCCACCTAAGTCCAAGAGAGAGAGGCTGCGATGGAAAGTGGCGAAGTGGTTCAGGATACGGCACGAGGTCAAGAAATGGAGCGGCACAATGAGCGACGGATATAGGAGGGAATGGGAGGGAGAGGGCTTTTGGAGGGAGCCAAACCTGGCGCAGCTCTGGAAGGCCCTCGAGGCTCAGCCGCAGCTGGCGAATAGAGAAAGGCGCGCGAGGGCATTGGCGGTCTGTGAGCGCGAACGACGCGACGCTGAACAGGAATTCCTCCTGTGCCCGCGGACGGGGGGGGAGAAACTCACAGAGGTGATGCAGGAGGTTGCGACAGAGAATAGCGGCAACAATGCCAGGAGAGTCTTCGAGATTCTGAACAAGGAGATGGGCAGAAGAGCGGGCGGGGGGGAGCTGGTTGCGATGTATGAGGGAGGTGAGTGGGTAACCTGCCAGACGACGGGAGAGCAGGTCTGGCAAAGACACGTGGTGCGAGGGGACGAAGTCCGCGACGCCGCGGCGAGGAGGGGGAAGGAGATCAACGCGCGGAGGGAGGCGGACATGGTGGCGGTCGAGGCGCTCCTAGCAATGACAAAACCAGCCAGGGCGGAGGCCCAGCCCCCGGGGGTGGAGGGGACAGGACGGCTCGTGGCTAACGCGTTGACGTGGTCGGCGTGCGAGGCGGCGATCAGGAAATTCAAGAAAGGAAAGGCCATAGGCAGCGACAAACTAGACGGGTACCTGATCCGACTTTCGCCGAGGGGAGTGCAGAGGGAGTACTGGAGGCTGCTGCAGGAGATTGTGCGGGAGGAGCAGTATCCCAAAGTGTGGAACGACTGGATTGCTATGATGGCAATGAAGCCGGGGGAGGATCCGAAGGAGCTCGAGAGGAGGCGGGACCTTTGGGTACAACCACAATCTAGGAAGGGGCTGATGCGCATGCTACTGCCAGAATACGACAGAGCGGCAGCACACACGGTACCGGGCTCGCAGAGCGGCTTCACCAAGGGGATGAATGCACCTGCGCAGACGCTAACGGCAAGGCTGCACGCGGAGGAGTGCATGATAGAAAGGAAGATGTGTGTGAGAGGATACATAGACTTAGGCACGTACTTCATGAGCGTCGTGAATGAGGTGCAATGGAGAGTGGAGGAGTGGGCCGGTGTGCCAGCAGACGTCACGAGAGTGCTAAAGGCACTGAGGGAAGGGCTCGGCGACCTGCCAGGGCTAACAGGCAGATATGAGACGGGCTATGGGCTCAGCCCGAGGTTTGATATTGAACAGGGATTAGGCCAGGGCTGCCTGCTCTCGCCTACACGGAGTAAGCTCATGCTCGCGGTGATGCAGCGAGCAGTGAGCAAATTATGCCAGGAGGCCGAGAGCTGCTGACCATGGCGGACGAAGCCACCTACCGAGCAGGGACGCAGATTGACAATTGGGTGGTCACAACTGGGCTCGCGTCATGTATGGGGCGCACGAGCACAATGCCGGGGGTGTGCGGTGACGACCACAGGGCGGTGGCGGTGGAATTCTTTGGAGGAGTGGGTGGTGTGGGAGGGCCTCGCGAGTTTCGGGAGCGGGGGGTGAGCACATTCATGGATCGGGAGGTGGAGGAGAAATTCACAAAGACGGTACAGGAGGTGTTCGATGACGAGGTGGAGGCCGATGCGGAGAAGGAGCTAAGCGCCTCAGAACGGCTCGAGAGGCTAAAGCGAGACCGGCTGTGTCCGATCGTGCGGAAAGCCGCGCAGCAATGGACCGAGGAAGATGAGAACCCGCCTAGGGCGACAATGGCGCACTTGCTTAGCGGCGCCTGCCTGGGGAATAGGGAGCAGGCCAGATGGTTCCTCAGAGTAGCGCGAGCGCAGACGGGGACGGCGATCAGCAAAGTAGCCCAGGCGGCACCCGACTCCAAGGATACACTGAAGACGCTGAGGATAGCGCATGTCGCTGCGCTGAAGGGCTCACGCTATAGGGTGCTGGATGAGGACGGGTACGATGCACTAGCCCCAGCGGTCGGGGGGGTGTTGCCGGCGCTGGTAGATGATCTCTCGGAGAAGAGTCGGAGGGACCTTGGCGCCGGGGTTACGAGGAACTTGCAAGTCGTGGCCGAGGCGGCGACGGGAGCGGTGCAGAGGTGGATCCAGCTCAACGATGAGGCTA